ATATGTATATATACCTGTGTCTAGACTGATGCAGTCGCTGTCAATGCCTTCGTTACGTGACATTGAATTCGGTCCTAATAGCGGTACGTTTTGTGGGGAATGACGTTTGGTGGCAGGCCGGCGGAAGCGCCTCCGCCTGTAAAATTAAAATACCAATGTGTGTACTATTATCGAGTGGACAATGACATGCGGGTTGCATCAGACAGTGCTTTGGGTTGATTAGTGGTGTGAACTACTCATGAGTGGGTGTACTATTTAACCGATTTGCGTATTTCTGTGGTGTTAAAGTACATTTGTGAGTCCTTTCCTCAAAAGGAACAAGCTGTGTGCAATGCATCTCGATCCGTTGCACATTGTCGACTAGGCGACGAATATGTGTGTGCGTTGGTTGTAAACATTTCTCCATACATCTAACATATATACAACTCCATACATATATACGCTATATGACTTATATACAACTCTATACATATGAACTCTCCATATAACTATATAAATAACGCATATATGCCGTCTCTTACTTGTTAACTTACATCATACAGTATCACATACATATATTTTGAATATAACCACACCTATTTTTGCGAGTCACTTCCGTTCCAAAAACCTCTTCGTCAACCTGCAATACTTCACGATCTGTCGAGAAATCCACCCATTTCACAACGTCCGGTGAGCCGGGCTCAACTGTACCAATCAGCAGCCGCGGTTTAACGGCGGAGTGATTTGATTGGTCGACAGTTAAACTCACGCTCGTATCTGCAGCTGCGGATCTGGGCGGGTCCTGGTCGCTACCCAGCGCCGTTACCATGCCAACCCTCTGGGCCACATGCACAGCTGTGTGAATGTTGTCTCCTGTCAGCATCACACATCGCACACCACCACGGTGAAGCGATTCAACAGCTCGGTGGGAGTCTGACTTGACTGTTGCGAGAGATGTGGCATAAGCGAAGATATGGCTGAGTGATAGTAGGTATCTTTGTAAGATATATAAGGTAATAGTAGGTAGACAAGCAGTAGGTATCTCAATAAAGAATGCATGTTCTATCCATGTGTTGGGTAGAGTGAATGCCTCGGCATCAGTTAAGTACCGCTACTTTTATTGTATACCATTCGCTGTCGATCGATGTGGATGTACGAGCGGAGAGCCTGTTTTAACAGTTGAGATATCATCAAAGACATGGCTGCGATATATATATATATATATGTGTGTGTGTGTGTGTGTGTGTGT